TATAAATTTGATGATAGATGAAAGAAAGAAAGAAAGAAAGAAAGAAAGAAAGAAAGAAAGAAAGAAAGAAAGAAAAAGAAAATCTGTTATCCTTTGCAAATCTGATATTTGTATTACTAGGTAGCTTTTAATATAATCCTCAAATTGCCATATTTCATATTGGACTCTTTAGAAATTAATAAATCTATTATTTTCATTTAAAAACAGCTACCATTCCTTCTGCATATTATTATTACATATTAAGTTCTGCACTTCTGATTTGAAATACTATTTGTTTGTCAGTTTCTTACTAGATACCATTGTCTTTAGTTGTCATGACAGGAAAATTCATAAGTGCATTGGGGCTACATATATCCAAATATATTCCCCATTTCAGGACAAGGGTCTACACCCTAATTATTGTAGGGGTGCCTTAAGGGGTTGAACTAGTCATGGCATCATTCATAATTTCTATGTGAATAGCTATGAAGAGTGGAGGGAGAGAGAATCTGTATCAGAATCCTGCTAGGCGAAGATGGTTTTGCCCTTTCTATGTAGTCCCAATCCAAATCATTTTATCCACCCTGCTATTTCATCAGGAGGAAGTTGCCGATGGAGCGAATGGAAATATTTCTCCTAATGGTGGCAGCCAGCAGATTCCTGATCCAGATTAGAACCATACAGGCAAAGATTAACATCTCTTCATCTTGATACAGTTCACTATCTCTCACATTATTTTCCAGACATAATATTCACAAAATTGTTAATTGCTTTAATGAAGCCATGCTTAATTTAGCCTTTAGTTCACAAGTGCTAGAAACTATTTTAAAGCAACTAGAATAAGAATTTGAAATATCCACATAGTACTGTTGGAGGTTAAGTCCATCCTACTGCTGTGCCAATGCATTCCATGCTTTAAACATTAGCAAGGAAGGAATTAAGAAATCTGTAACCTATGCAATGTTCAAGTTAGTTATTATTCATTTTATGATTGCTTATTAGGTATTGGAATTCCTTCATATACAATAACTATTATATTCTTAAATATTAATAGAAACATAAATGGGCATTAATTTTACACAAACTTCCTTTTTTGGGTGCCTCATTATACTAAACAAATATGTATTTTTTTGCTCCTGTGGAATTGACAGCCAGTGAGAGATGACTAAAGATTAAGTGAGAATGATAATATTTGTATCTTTTAAATAATCTGAGACATGCTCCTTTGATATCTACTTCATTAGAAATATTAGAAATAATTTCTCAGATAATACAGAAGGTGGTAGGGGTGTTCTCATGTACAGCTGAAGGTTGTGAACTGTATCACTTTTGGTTAGTTAGCTAGATGTCATGAAGTCAGACATGACTGCAAAAAGAAATGTTCATCATCTTGACCCATCTTTAATAACAATGTGTAGTTCTTTCAAAAATATTCTAGAATCCTCTTTGATTTGGTCCACCTACTTTGTTCTGTTTCCCTTTTTCCCCTTCCTTCAGCCTTGCCAAGTATAGTAATTTTTCTCAGTGGATTTATATCACATGCCCCAAATATATGAGTTTCGCTCTACTGGTCTTTACCTCAAGGGGGTCATCCACCTTTATGTAGTGCAGGATCAATTTGACTGGTGTTTTTTGCAGTCTTGGTAACTGTTCCAAATCCATAATTCAGAGGCATTTATTTTCTGTCCCTTACTCTTTCTCATGTCTACATTTTACAGCTGTACATTCCTGCGGGGGGGGGGGGGGGACACATTGCTTTAAGTATTCTGATTTTTTTTTATATTGAAATATCCTTAGGACTAATTACTTCTCCAGCACAATATTCATTCTTGACCCCAAGAAAACAATTCTAGTAATAATTCAACTAATTCTAGAAATTCAAAACATTATGAGTAATTTAAAACAAATTATCTGCAACCCTGTTGCTGGTTCATAATCTTAGGTTCCAGAAAGGTAGAACCCAATGCAAATACCAGCATACCTTGCTATGGGACTGGCACTCCTGCCATTGCCTCAAAATGCCAGGTGCTGGACCTAAATCTGAGGATTGTCCTCCCTTGCCCACAGTATTACTGTGTGGATATGAAATTATTTTAGAACCTACAATGCTTACTTAAGAATAAAATGGTCAAATCACTACTGCAGTAGGAATTGGCCTCTCTTTTTTGCATGGCACACTCCAGATATTAGCAAGACTCTTTGAATATAAAATCTCTCATATCTGGGCAAGCATAGGGTTGCCACAATGCCTAGAGAGCATGAAAAGGTCAGAATTTTGCCTCTACCTAGCTTCTCATCTGGATTTTTGCAGTCCAGATATGGTAATCTTAGGGTATGGAGGTTAAAATTCATTCCACAATTTGTCAAGAGAAGCATTAGAGCCTGTTGCCTTTAGCACTAGATGGTATAACATGATCAATATCAGCATGCATGTGCATATATGGTGAGTTCAAACTTCATTAATAAGGCAGCATCTTATTTGTGTTCTGCTTCGTTTTAATTTTTATAGTAGGTGCATCTAATTATTAAAAGTGTAGTGGCTCTGTAAATTAAATCTAAGCTCTTCAGTTTCTTCTCTTATTAGTTATATTGGGATGGGTGTAAAAACCAACACCATCTTGTATGAGAGCTCAGGTGAGAAAAGTGTTTATATGCTCCCTTCATCAATGAAATAAAGAATTGTTTTGATGTCTTTAGGAAAATTATTATTCATTCTTGGGTGCTATAGTTGGAAAGGCAAAAGATAAAGTAAAATAAAATAATTAACACTTATTCACCATATTTTCCCTGCTTTTTAGAGCAACCCCGTTAATCATCTATAGGAACAGAATATAAATTTAAAGCTTTGTCTGAATCAGAAATGCAATGCCCACCCACCCAGCCACCCACCATTCTTTTTGTTTTGGTTCTGTTCACTGGTCATCATTCAATGTTGTTTGCTCCTGATTGTCTTTTGGAGTGTTTAGCCTGCAGGAAATCTAATCAATAACAGGACACCAAGCTCATGCTGTAAGAAGCCAGATTGAATAGCTAAACAAACACCCGTAGGGTGAATGTTACTCATCCAATCTGTTTAGATAGCATTGATGAATAATGGCCGTATGTGCAGAAGTCATCAAGAAGCGAGCAGATGAACTTGCTGGGGAAGTTTGAGAATGTTAAGCAAATTGACTTAATTCACACTTATTAGAATAATATACGTGCTAGAACATTGTTGTACTTTGGATTACAACTACCCTCAAATTTTACTTGTAAATGTTGACAAAAATGTTTATTTGAAGGGAAGGTATATATGAAAAAAATATTTGGGGGAGGACACTTTTGCAAATATACATAATTTAGAACAGTGTCTATCCATCTCAGAGTCTTTAAGGTGGGTGGACTTCCACTCCCAAAATTCCCCAGCCAGTAGTTCCCCCAGTCTACATCTCTGAGACTGAGAAACACTGATTTAGGAGGTTACAATTTAAACTGACATTTCTATGATTTTTTTTTAAATTCCAAGAAAATAGAGCAGAATAAATTTATAATACACAGGGGAAGACAAATCACCCGGATTTGCTTTCTTTTACATTCAGAGATTTTTTTTAACAGATTAATATTTCTGTCCAGATAATGATACATTTGCAAATTCTGCTAGGTTCGTATAACAAACAGGAACAAATGTCATTCTCCCTATCTGTATTTGCCAAGTTTAGTAAGTATAGCTATTTCGAACAACCAGTCTGTTATGTAGTTGCATAAGAGCAACTTCTTGTGCTTTTAAAAGAAGGCAACTCTAAATCCTGCTCTCAAATATGCTGAATACATTCACACTCCAAGCCCTTTGGGCAAAGGGCAATTGGTTTCCATTTCTCCTACACTGGATTGTTTTTAAGATCTCAAGTTCCCAAATGATTATAAAAAACATTTGGAAAGTTCTCCTAAACACTCCCCACCCCCAATGAGATGCTCAGTAATCCCTAATGAGAAAAGATGTGAGGCCCAAACAT